TTATTAAAACACAAATCAAAATAAATAGAAAATATATTAAAGAATAATTCGTAAGGGTTCCGCGGAACCCAGTGTCTCGCCTACTTTTAGTCGCTGTTAGTCGCAGGCTCAACAAAAATGGGGAAAAAATTATTATAAATTTTCCTCTAGATACTATCTTTTGATTGTAAGAAGTTCTGTTCAAGTTTGGTAAAAATCCAAGAAGGTTTATGAATCTAATAAATATTTTAAAAACTTTAACTGCAGACTGTACGTAATGTTAACTGGAATAAAACTAAGTCCATTTATAAGTAATATACGGAAAAACAGGAAATAAATTTTTACAAAATTTCCTTCTAGATACTATAGCTTTTGATCACAAACAAGCTTCTGTCCAAGTGTGGTACAAATCCAGGATAGTTTCAGAAAGTTATTAAAATTTGAAAAACTTTAACCACAGAGTGAATGTTATGTTAACTGGCAGAAAAACTAAGTCCATATATGAGTAAAATACGTATAAACAGATTTTTTTTTTTACAAAATTTTCTTCTGGATACTATCTTATGATTATAAACAAGCTTCTGTCCTAGTCTGGTACAAATCTAGGATAGTTTAAGAAAGTTATTAAAATTTGAAAAACTTTAACCACAGAGTGAATGTAATGTTAACTGGCAGAAAAACTAAGTCCATTTATGAGTAAAATACGGATAAGCAGGGTTTTTTTTTACAAAATTTACTTCTGGATACTATCTTATGATCATAAACAAGCTTCTGTCCAAGTTTGGTTGAAATGCAGGATAGATTATGAAAGTTATTAAAATTTCAAAAACTTTAACCACAGAGTGAATATTTGTGGACGCCGCCGCCGACGACGACGACGACGACGACGACGCCGACTGAATGTAGGATCGCTATGTCTCGCTTTTGCGACAAAAGTCGCAGGCTCGATAAAAACAGTCTGAACCTTAGAAACGTTGAGATGTGTAAAATGCAGATATGAATTACTACAACGAAACATTAGCGGTATGATGACGATTCTAACAGTATAATTAAATGTTTTGACATGCTGTCTGTGTTGTCGGATATTATGCATATGCAAAAGAAGTGGTGAAATACTAATACAGGGTCAGAGATAAAATAACGAATGTCTTTTATTGGTCTCTGCATGGTAGAGAGTTCTCTCATTGGCAATCATACCACATCTTTCTTATATATATATATATATGTAGGACTCTAAAGTGCGATGGTAAGTAGTTATAAAGTGCGATGGTCACGTTAAAGTGCGATGGTATACGCTAAAGTACGATGGTGTCTCACGCTAAAGTGCGATGGTTGTTTGTTTGCTAAAGTACGATAGTATATCACGCTAAAGTGCGATGGACCAAAAGGGTAAGGTTAGATGGCTTAAAACGTTAAAGTACATGGATGTTAAAAAAAGCTTTGCAAAAGCTAATATGCTAAGGTATAACATACGTGATAGGCTTTATAATTTACCGGTAGGGTTAAGCGATTGTTTCTAAATTTAGAAGACCGGCTACGAAATAATTGTTAAAAAGGTAATTTAGGTGTCTCAAAATACTACATTTCCTGTAAATGAATTTTTAACAATTCGGGCGTATCTAATACTTGGATAATTGGTGTAGCTTGCCTTCACACAGTCTATCACTAATGTGAACACCTCCCCTTACAGTCGCCATTGTAAATTACTAATACAAAATTCGTTCATTGTCGGTATATGTAACATTTATTTGTTTAAGCTTTAATTTAAATGAGAGAGAAATGCGATGTTCTCCGAGCTTTCTCCTTTTTCGTAGCGAGTACAAATAAATGTTATGTTTTCCTACGATGTACAAACTAATGTTTTACCCGACAACTTATAATTTACTCATGAAAACATGTACCTTTATTTTACAGACGTTACTTTTCAATAAAATCCACAGTATTTTAATGGAGACCGCAAAGTAAACTGCATGTTACATAAACAATGATTTAAATGTATCCGTTCGCTTCCAATTCCAATAGAAGCAGGATACAAGATACTTATGCGTATACTATTTTGTATCTATGTAGTAAAATGGTCGACTGCAGATACAAGTCCTTCTTCCAGCACTCGAAAACAAAAACACATTAGCTGCAGCCGACAAAGCACGGTTAGATTTAAATTAATTAAGTCATGGACATTTGGTTTAAAAATTGTTAATCAAATATTCTAAATTTATCTTCCCATGTTCATTTTTGGTTTGTGTAAACGACTGTTAACGTCATAATCCAACTACGTTTCCTACGTCTATACTTTCGCAGACCATCATACTTTAGCGTGACCATCGTACTTTAGCATCCCCATCGCACTTTAGAGTCCTACATATATATAATATATACAAGTCTAAATTGAAAACAACGTTCAAACCTATGATTGCGTTGGATAAAAACCGCAATTTTTATACGTGTGCATGCAAAACAAATTTCTTGGTAGAGGGGTCTAAATACAGCACAAACAACATTTTCCAAAAGACCAAAAAAGTGGAAAAGTATATTCTAACAAAACGCATTTGACTAGCAGGTCGAACAGCTGATGTTCTTAAACCCTGCTGACTGCCATTGGCGACTGCCAAATAAACGGATCACCAGATGTAACAAAATGGATCTTATAATAATTTATTACCAAACAGAAAACAATAAACTTGCGGAAAAGATGGTATACCGCAAACATGAGGTGCAAAAATTTGTACACCATATTCGGATTTCGATAATTAATGTCTCTTCAGTGATGTTAGGAATCGAAACGGTATTTGGAAGGCCATATAATTTACCTCAATTTAGGATAGACTCTTGAATTTTGAAAGAGTCGAAATAGGATGAACGGATCGTATAAACCCGAAGGCAAATATAATACAAGCCCAAACGAAAAAATATAAACAAGTCTAAATTGAAAACAACGTTCAAACCTATGATTGCGTTGGATAAAAACCGCAATTTTTATACGTGTGCATGCAAAACAAATTGTGCTAAAATTTTGACCAGAGAAATATCTCTTGTACTCAAGTTATTGTCTTAAAACCAGACAATAATTGTGTTGGCCCTTTTCTGGCCCCTAATTACAAAACAGTAAAGACGATAACCCCCAAAATCAACCCAAACCCTCCTATTGTGGTATGGAATCTTGTGCTAAAATTTCTTACACATCCATACACTTTTACTAAAGTTATTGTCTGCGAACCAATTTATTTTCCATGAACCAGTGAAACTGCCCTTTTTTTGGCCCCCAATTGCAAAACCGCTAGGTCGTAAGCCCCAAAAAACAATCCCAATCATCCTTTAGTGGTATGGACCGAGCGGAGCATGTTATAGGTCTATACAAGGTGCCATTGTCATTACAAAGGCCTTGGCTAACTATTAGACGCCTTTGCCTACTGAAGTAGGAGCGTCCTAAAGCAGAAAAACACGATTATCCAACCTAAAAGGCCAGAAAACACACATAAAGGCAATTACCCGTAAGAGTGAAAATCTTCTACCAGCACCGCCAAGGCATGCCATAGGGGTATATTATGGTTCAAACGAACTCTAAGGGTCCCTGCTACATGCCTGAATCCTTACTTATTCTTAATTATGCGAACGTAAGCCAAAAACAATTTTAATTGAAGGTGCCATTCTGATTGCAAAGGCCGTGTCTAACTATTAGACGCCTTTTCCTAATTAAATAGACGCGTCCTAAAGCATAAAACACAATAAACCAACCTAAAAGACCAGAAAAGGCAATTACCGGTACCCATAAGAGTGAAAATCTTCCGCCAGCACCGCATGAAGTCTGTATGTTGATCACTAGAAGACTTTAGTGTTTTTTTGTTTGTTGGGTTGCTGTCTCATTGAGATATATACCCCACACCTACCTTTATTCCAACATGAAATTCATTAATGATTGTTTTCTTTGTAGATTCACTGCATTTGAAGTGGTTGAGGTATGTGTGTGTGCAATAAGCATATATATAATTCTACTATAATTGTTATATCTTCAGAACCATTAAATCCAAGTTTTTCTCCCCAATAACAATACAAATTAACCAATTACTGTCATTGAGGCTATATATAATGTGAAACATTATAAATTTAACTAACCATAATGATCCTCTATCCTGTTGTAATGACAAGAGGATGGTGAAAAATAAAAGTCATGAATACTGGTATTTGGGAGAGGAATGATGGAATGTGTAAAGTTTTACTATTTAATGATTAGTAATTCTGATATTTATATACTTTGTGGTACATGGAATGTGAAAATTATTTAATACTACAAATCGAGTACATGACCAAATTTTAATGCATAAGGACATCATACTAAGTTTGCTTACAGTGTTTTTTTATTTGCGAAATGTTTATGTACATGTTCAAACTAGAAATCCCCTCAGGCAATGTTTACAGTTAAGTCCAAGGGTCTTTTCAATCCAGTAAGCAATTATGGTAGAATTTTTTCTTATGTCCAGGGCCTCAGTGGTCCAGAGGTCTAAGTAGTTCTACTACTGTACACTAGTCTGTCAACACTGAGATGAGTTTGAACCCCATATGTGGCAGGTGTGCTTGACTCCAATTTAAATTCACAAGGATTGTCAGTTTTCCTGCTGAAGGTTTGTGGTTCTGTCTGACTTCCTCGACCAATAAAAACTGACCACCACAAAATAGTCAATAGTGCTGAAAGTGGCATTTAACATTAATCAATCAATCAATTAAATTTATGTTCAACGTGTCTTGGACTTGGTGAACAATTTAAAGCAATGGCCTTGGATATACTACAATATAGATACCTGTCTATTGTTGAAGACTATATGTTGATCTCTGCTGGTATTTTTTTGTTTTACTATGCTGTTGGATTCCTGCCACATTGACACATAAATTGTTCACCAAACATATTTTATTCATATAGCAACTAAATACTAAAATCACCATATAAAGAAGTTGTAATTTGTGTAACTAAGCAGTATTTTGTAGTTACCAGAAGTGAGGTCTATAAAGTTAAAACTAGTATAAAATTCAAATACACAAAATCATTTTTATTTTGAACTGTAAATTAATACAAGCACGTACATGTAGATGAATTCTTCCTTATGCAGCGGTGACAGAGAATATATTGTATATGGCATACTGTAAATTGACTCATTTAAACATGCAATTAAACCGGTCTCAACCAAATCCTGAGTAAACATGCAATGAAACCGGTCTCAACCAAACCCTGAGTAAACTTGCTGAAATGTCTTGTCTGGCTTACTGATCATGATTGAATTTATGTTGAAAGTCTTAAAGATAAAAGTTTTACTACACATAAGTATCACATAAACTTAATATTATCAATCATGCATTAAAATGAGGTCAAGGTCAGATGAACCCAGCCAGGTGGACATTTACACCTTCCAATCATTCAATAGAACAAATATAGTTGACCTACTGCTTATAGTGTCTGAAAAATGAACCTAATTATGAAAAGTTAACCTTTGATCACTGATCTATGAAATGAGGTAGAGGTCAGATGAACCCTAACTGACCAACATGTAGACCATGTAAGGTTCCCATATACTAAATATAATTAGTAAGTAATTCACATGACATGAAACTTAAGCTTTTTTTTTGGCTTTCGCTTAACTATGCAAATAGATCAAGGACAATGGACATAGATAGAAACTTCTAAACAAAAGGCATCTTTATACAAAGTATGAAGCATTCCAATATTCTATATTCTGAAATATAAAGGTTTATACAAATAGTTTACACCAATGCAGCTTGATTAGATTTCCAATGTTTAGCATTCTGTGATTCCTTTGTTGCTGGTGAGATAACAATAAACCAGTCCCAACTGTTCTGTAGTATCAGAAAAAAACATTGGATATTTTTAGCAATCAAACATGTGTAAAGGGAAGATCACTTTTTAAGAAACTGAAGTCCCACCAGGTTTTGATTTTCATAGGTTTTACTGTATAGATAGTATTTAATTGACCTTATTTGAGGTTGAAGTTATTTCCCTTTGCCTCCAGTTGGAGGCAAACTGGTTGAATTTGTTATTTGACTAACTGAATTGAAATATGGGACCAGGGAACAGTTGAGCCATATATTTTACTCAAACATTAATTGTGTCAATGCAAAACTTCCCATTAGTAATAAATGATATAATTTTTCCTTTTCATTCAATGATTGTCAATTACACTATATATATAACTAAATACATACTCAGTCTTTATTTATCTAGAGATGCAAATATTTTTCATTTATCAAAACCAAACACACACACACACACATTAATAAAAATTCTGCCATGTGAAAATAGCAATTTTCTTCATGAAGCTAAATATAAATGAGCTGTTTATTTCATAAGAAATAATTGTGGTTTCTATACAAAAGATGCAAAACTGAAATATAAATTATTGTGAAGATTTGATCATAATTATTCAGAAAATAAATTTTTCCAAATTTTGTCAAAGATATAAATCCTATAAATACAAGTAAATGTGGGGTATATGTCAATGAGACAGCATTACATTTACAAAAAAAGTTAGAATCTTAAAATTCTACTATGGCATGATAAAAATGCAACATGCTTTAATTTTTATTCAAACTTTTTTTCATCTATTTTTTTTATTTTAATGATTTATCAAAGTAAGGAGTTTGTTTAATGGCATTTGCCAAAAACAAAGTAGCAAATTAACAATTTTTAATACATATCATATTTGTTATTTTAACTCAATGTCTGTTGATTTTAATCAAATTCCTACAAACACCATCAAGAGCTGTTCTATAAAAACATACATTGGACCAAGGGAAGGCACTTTGAAATCTCCACTTTGGTTGGGTGTCAATTACAGTGAAAATGTTAGTGCAATTCTAAATTTGACTCTATAGATGGTTACCCCATTTAGAAAGTGCCTTCCCTGGGTACCATGTATGTATGAATAGAACAGCCCAAAGTAAAATGAATAATTTTCTGGGCATTTTACTGAGAAAGGTATGATGATTATATAAGTAAAATATGTTTACATTGAAGCAGATGAATATTGCACCTTCTGGATTCAATACCATATATATTTACAAATAAATAAATTCAAAATAATTTCCTTTTTTGTTAAGTAATACAATAATGCACATTTAAATGAACACAATTCATCATAATAGGATAAAATGACTATTCAGAAAGTACATGGGAAAGTCAATTTAAAAAAAGTAAAGGATAGCCATTTTGCTCAATAATCTATGGGCCACTTAACAATTAACAATTATATGCTGGTTGACTAAATGATGTCTGCAAACCAAACACTCTTAGTTTATGAAATCAAATTTTTTATAATAAAAAATGATAGGAAAAAATTTTATTGGTGCATTTTTGGACAAGCGTTGTCTATTGTTTGTGACCATTATGTATAAAATTCTTGGTTTCTCCTGTCATTTGCAAACATTGCACTAACGTTAGGACTTTTGATAGTAAAAATCTATCAAGTTGTAGTAAATACTTCTGAACACTTCTTATACCCAGACATGGTTTTTCACTTCAATGTGTGGTTGGCCAAAATCTGGAAAGACTTCCCTAAATATACAGTACATGTTAATGGAGGATCTACAACATGGGAGACACAATGAAAACAATCTAGAAAATTAACACATCAGACTAATGAATTGTTTCATACAGAAAGTTGTACTTGTCACAGAAAAAGAATGATATAAACTTTTATCCCTGTTTTTTTATTCAGTGGTCATATTGAGTGTTAAGGTGGTACATAACACTACAGCGAGATAACTCTGCAAAAATCAGCTAAACGTTTTAATCACATTCTATTGTTAAGAAAATATTAAGCTTCTCAATAATCAAAATTAGTGTTTGTCAAAGGTCAAAGTAAATATTTTGTCAAAATTTTATGAAAATTAAACGAGCCAAATTAATTTTAGTCAAGGTGTTTGGTACCACCTTAAACAAATATATTGGTGTAATTAAAGCCATGCACATGGATTTTGACAATTTTTTATGCTTCAAGTTCTTTTTCAGAAGAGTTACCAAGTTGTAAAACTTGTGTCTGGTCTATTTTTCATTTTAAACAACAAAACACTGTTATATCAAAACCATGCTACTTTGCATTAAACATATTAAACCTGTTCTCAGACTTAATTCAAATTCATGCAAACATTGTTCCATTAATTCACCTTTTGCTTCCTGGCCTCCCACATCCATTTAAATGGAATAGCCCTAAGTTTCAAATCATAGAAGATGATAATTCAAATGAAATTTTTATAAAATTCTATGAAAAACTTAAATACAAACATAATAAAATTTGATTTTTTTATACAATAATTTATGAGGTAATACAATTGTGAATGGCCTATCTTCCCTTATTTTGAATAAATTCAATGTACATTTTTGATAGACACATCCTACATGTTGTCAATTTTTTACAAAAAATTAATTAAAATAATTATAAATAATTAAAATTAAAATCTATGCAGTTAAAAAGAAATTATTCACATAAAATATTACAAATTTCTTATCCATATTTATGTCAAATATATGAAATACATGGATGTTTTCCCTGATAATTGTTAATGTGGGTTAGAAAATAGATTCAAAGAAAACATAAATTACCTTGTTAAGGGGTACAGAAAACCTAAGGGAGTTATCTCTTTACAAATCAGCTGAACATTTTTATCACATACTATTAGTAAAGCTTCTTAATGATCGTAATTAGTGTTTGTCAAACTGCTATATATCCAATGAAATTATTCCTGTAAATTGTGTGGTTCAAATTTCTTGAAATTTTTACATTTTTGTCAACAGGTCAAAGTAAATATTTTGTCAAAATTTTATGAAAATTAAACAAGCCAAATCTGTTTTAGTAAAAGTGTTGGGTACCCCCTTAAGATAATTACATAAAACCATTTAAGTGTATGCCATAATTTTAACATTAACCATTATATAAACCATTATTACCACATTTTCCATGGGGATATATCTTATAATAAAAATAAAATGAAAAATACACCAAAGTCCACATTTCATACCCATACATTTACAGTCAAACATAGTATAAAGGTCACCTCTACTTGTCAGGTGACCTAATTCTTGTCCAATTGTAGTAATACCTATGCATTTTGAACCTAAACTCAAAGGTCAACTATCTTATAAGGTCAGATTTTTTGGTACTGAGGGTGACCTTTCTATACAGGTTTGACAGTATCTACTTAACACTCCCATTAAAACAAGAAAAGAAATCACCAATGCAATTTTAGGACCATTTTTAAATGATTTTTCTGTATTTTTAACTTTATTTTGCCCTTTATTCTCTATTCTTAATATTTTAGCAACCAATTATTCTCTTTTTTCATTTTCTTTACTTTTTCCCCTTTACTCTGCACTTTTTGACAATTATTCTCAATTCTGTTTTGTTTTAGGAGGCCCAGAGTAATCTTCCAACCTTTTACAATTACTAATGGATTGATTGTTGTCAGTTTAACTTCCAGTGGCAAATAATTCATGCATATTTAAGACGTCAATGTGAAGCATTTAATTGAGTGAACTATCAATGGATTAAGAGGTTTAAGTAATCAATGAATGCAGATGACAACAACCTACCAATAATACTCAGCCACTGAAGATCTCATGAAAAATAAAAATCGACACAGATAAAATGATACAACAAATAAGATAGAGTATTTTTTTTCGGATTAAAGAAAAGACAATGAAACAAATAAAACCATAATACGTCCCGTAAACGGGCGTATAAAAAACTCGTACCATAATTTCTCAATGGATTTTAGAATCTAAACTGTTATTGCAATATAATTGAAATTATCTCCCCTTTTATTGAGATCTTTGAAAAATTGATGCTACCTGTAAAAGACTGTATAAAGTCCTAATAAAATTTTGTAGTTTTTCATAATATATCAGGGACAAGCTAATTTCGAACAGATCATTATTTTTTCATTTGAATAAAAATAACTGGCAAATAAGAAAATCTACATCACATCAAGAAATAGTTGCCATTTGAAAATAATATGAAAGTACTTTGTTTCATGAATTTTATTTCTCATGGTTTTAGGACATATCATTTGTTAGTGTGTAATGATTTAACAAATTACATGGAACCAAACAATGGGGGAAATTTTCATTGTATCAAGTTTCACAATAATTTGTGACAGTTATCCAAATAAAAAGAACAAACACAGAAAAATATCAATTTACAAATCACCTTAAATCTAAGTTTAAGAATTTATGCAAGAATTCTGGGAGACAAAAATTAGAAGTTTAAAATTAAAAGAAAATTTGGTTTTATAAACTTTCTGAAACATTTGAAAGGAGGCAAATAGCAAAATATGTTTCATGATTACACTAATTTGATTTCCACAAGTTCTCAGCAATCAAAGCAATTTGTACTTAGAATATAATTTTATAAAAAATTGTAACCTCCAAAAATAGTTATGTACAAATGAAAAATAATTGATTATAAATCAGTTTGGTATTCTGAAAATCAGATATCCTGGAACCATAGCATAAAGAAAGAAAACATACTCAAATTTTAGTTTGCATTTAAAATATACATATATATAGATGACTAACAAATATTAAACCAATCATATGATCACAAATTCATTCATTACTAAAAATGATAAAAAAATGTACATCCATAATAAATAATGATAAAATATGAAGCATTCACCTCTGTTGGCCCCCCATTCATATCACAAGAACTTTCAGGATAAAACATTCATAAAACTAGTAACAAATATTGCTATACTTCTAAAACAAATTACAAAAATGATCTAAAATCTTCTAAAAATCAGTTGAAAATGCTGTTACGTATTTGTGGCCCTGTCAAGAATGAGTCCCCTCAGTGTTAATTTCTCTCTCAGTGTGTTATATATCTGAAGTTGTTCCTCTGTGGTAAGTAACCAAATACTTTGTAAGATCTTCTGTGGGTTGGGTGCTCTGAAACAAATAAATATTTAGAGATATTACTGATAGAATTCCTACTTAATTTTTTTTTGTTCTTTTGAAATTTGTAAAACTAATTTTTGTAGTTTTCCCTCTGTTTTTGTTTGTTCTATACACATTTTAGTAGCAATGGTGTTCTGTAAATGTTCTCATTAGAAAATGAGTGCACATGTTTTAATGTACCATGTATTATTGCAAAGGAGATAAAACCTTTCACCAGAATCAGTTGGTGTCAAACTGGATATTTAAATTTTTTTTTAATCCTGGAAAGATTCCATAATATTCAATAAACCCATATCAAAATTTATCAATTTGATAAATTTTTATTTTTCTGGAATAAATCCACTCATTCATAGCCCCATTGCTTCCTATGTTGAATTCTGCAATTTCAAGCATTCATAGCTTTTTTGTCTTAAGTTCAAATAAAGTGAAAGTCACTTCATGTCATAACTATACCTTTTCCAGACTTGTGCTGAAAAATTCAACATTTCTTTAATTGCATATTAGAGCACACTGTATCCGTTAAGTTTGGTAGTACAAAAACAGGTATTTCTGATCTGAACAACAGGGCAAATATTCCTGCTATCTTAATTTAATACTTTTTTTATTATTAAAAAGAAACTTTCTACAAGAGTTCTACAGTGATCCAAAGTGTGTAATAATTTTCAAAATTACCCAAATATTTTACTTATTGTCAAAGTAACAGATATGCATAGGCACTATTCCGTTTAAAATATGTACTTCTTTCTTGTATGTTCTTTCTGACCAGGCCTGAATAAGTGTTTCTATACCTTCTGACTGATATGAACACCTATAGATCTATAAAATCAAGCTATACTGTACCTAATAAAACTAGTGTAGTAGACATGAACAAATGTGGCCATGAGGAACTGACAGTCAAATCTGTCCATGATACCACCATGTCCAGGGATCGTGTCTCCAAAATCCTACAAATAGATATAAATTATTGTTGTTAATGTCTCAGAACGGAAATTTCCTTTGCAATCCACTTTACTAATGGATAAAGGCCAGCAAAAAATCTACAACAGCAAATACAAGCAGTATAAATATACCACTGAAGTTTTGTAAAGAAAATTGAAATATTGAAACTTTTGCACTTAAAAATATTCTTTTATCAAATACTTATGATTTGGAATGCCAATCTGATGCATTCAATTTGGTATTGTTTAATTTTTTTTTATCAATTTGGGGAAAATGTGGAAATAAAAAATTTATTTCAAGATGTTTTGGAAAATAAACATATAAATCAGACATTTTCTTTGCCAGAAAATTAGTCTGGTCAAGACTTTGGACTTTTCTTTATCAATCCTTTAATTTTACTTACTTTGATTTTAAATGCTCTTTTGAATCCACTTGCAAAGAATCCACCAAATGGTCCAATAACTGATGCAAACAAGGACATGCTGATGGAATGTAACATGAATGGATAAACTGTGATAGTCTTCCATGGGATACCAAACTATAAATAGATAAAATATGATTGGATAATCTGTAAAGGTCATCCATGGAATACCAAACTATAAATAGATAAAATATTGTTATGAAATGCAATTGTCTTTCATGAATAAACAAGCAAAATATATATATATATATAAAATGAGATATACAGTAATATGAAATGATTAAGTTTGAATTAATTTCTAAATTGATTTTTAACAATAAAATGAAATACCAGTACTGTCAGTTATGTTTACACATAAGGAATGAAACGGTTGCCACCATCAATTGGAGATTTAACAGTGGTAAATATACATTTTACTTGTCTCCACTCTGAGTCACTAGTGAAACTGCACTTGCAACAGTCAAACTCAAAATTGACAGTGGCAACTCTTCAAATACAGTACATTTATTGCTTTTCTAATGCAATATTATCAAAAGATTCAATAACAAGACATTGACTGTGTTTGCAAAATATTGTTGCTAATGATTCAAACTGAAAACAGTGGAATTGATGGTAAATGTTGTCCAACCAAAAGTAACTTTACATAACATATTGCATTAGAATAGAAGATGTTTGTGAAAATGCTGATGAAACTATTCTATGGTTAGAAAATGTCAAGCTTGCAAAAGAATGGACACTGTGCTGCAAATATCAGAAAAATACAAAAATTAAGATAATGACATTGATACAGAACATAGATTACAGATTAATGTTAATTCAGACTTTTTTTTTGTGAGTACCAGTTTCTGTAGATTGAGGAAAAATTGTATTTTCATGGATATTTATTTTTTTTGTCCTCCAATTTTGCTGACATGCCTATAGAAAGTTTATGTATGTTTTGTTGAACTTTTAAATTTGTGGTTAACCTATTCCCACAAAATCCACAAAAGTGGGTATCCCATGAATATAATGAATCTACAATATTACATGTCATCTTCCTTAAATATTTGCGACTGAACATTAAAAAATCAATTATTTATTAATTCTTAAAATCATGTGTTAGTCTTAGCCGTGGATTGAACTCATGACCTCCTACACTCTAGGTCATCTTACTCAACTATTCCCAGAAGTTTTTATAATTTCTTATTACTGTGTATATATATATATAGTAAGTTTCAGTTATCTGTACTCTCATGGGAAAACTAATCTTAATATATCATGTACCAAGATGCTGCAATTTTTTCAAACAAAAAAATTTAAACATCTGTTGCAATGAGAATATAACCCTATTGCATTTACCAATTAGTGGGCTTCAATTGTTGATTTCAAAGGTCAGCAAATTCAGATTTCTGGCAATGGAGTCAATAAACAAAGGTTTAGAACCATCAAATAAAAAAAAATTGGTGCCAGTAAATATACAAATGCAATACTGTTATCTCAGTTGAATTCTAAGATTGACATTTGACATTCAGTGTGTTTTCATTTTTTAAAGATTTTTCTTCCTTGATGACTGGTGAATTTTAACCTGCCACATAACAAAAGAAAACGTGTGAAATATCTAAAAAATAGGTTGAAAATTAGTAAGAAATCAATTAATGATCACATTATCAATACACTTTTTACTTTATTTTGGTTGAAAAAATCTCAGCAGATGTGAAAATGTGAACAAACATTGTAGTTTTTACATTAAAGATATTCATACTACATGTACTAAAATTTCCCACATCATAACTATTGGCTCGAAAGAACCTGTTTCATTCACCTCACATCTTTGCAAAAAAGAAAAAAAAATGGATTTCATTGATGATAATGGATTTAGAAAAGATGATCTTTACTTATATTGTGCTTTCTATAAATCCATTGATCCAACTATAAAGTTAAACAAAGTTGAAAATTGTAGGACCTATGTGACCTGAGCAGATAATTTTGATGGGGACCAGTGGAAATCTGGAGTAATTTATAATGTACTTGATTAAGAAAATATTTTATCAGCCACAAGGTCTGACAAACCCTACAAACATGACAAAGATTTAAACTGCACTGGTTGACTGTTGCACTGAGTCATCAAATGGAATGTTCCAAAATAGTTGTTGTTTCATTGTGGCAATTGCAAATGTGCAATTTTTCTAGTTTTTCTCAAAGGGGAATCAAGTAAGTAGAAGGACTTAAATAGATTTCCACAAAATATTTAATAACACTTTTCTATTTTGCCCACCTTTTCCTGGTGAAAGCCTAGGTTATGGTAACATTACCCAAAAAGTTGATGTTTCATCACCTGATCAAGTGACTGGTGTGTGTAAAATGAGATTGGACTTGGAAAATGGAGTCGGACTATCTCATAATTTAATTGTTACAATTTTTGAAATAATGCATCTAAATAATAATCATCTATAAAAATTTAAACAGACCAGTTTATATAAAATTGAGAATGGAATTAAATATACATTTTTAAAATTAACATTTTTAATGGTAAAAGTAAACCGACAATGACAGGTCACAAATGAAGACAATACATGTATCTCACATATCTAGGTGAGCTAAACATATACAACTATCTGACTATGTTATAAGGATTTCCAATAAGTTTGTGAATGCACCCGAATAGTATCTAAAGCATGTTTCTATCTTGTGTGTTGTACATGTTGTATACTCACAATTTTGCTCTGAAAATATTTATACAAAATTTAATTATCAATTGTTTAAAAAAAACGATTGAATTACTGTAAAAAATTCAGAAATTATTGCGAGGTTTTTATTATTGCGAATAATGCGACTAATTGAAAATTGCAATAATAAGAACTCGCATTTTGATATCTGATACATATACTTGTATGCAGGTTTTCCTGAAATCGCAATAATAAATCTCGCATTTTTGTTCTTTCTTCAAAAATCGCAATAATTTCTGAATTTACAGTAAAGTGTTTAAGTGCATGCGTGGGTTCAATGGCTTAATATTCAAATACTGAAAACAGGAATGCTATACCAGAGTTATCAGTGAATAAAAATTTCTACTGCCAAATTTTTATGATAAATGAGTTTTGATGTATGAAATTTTGCATCACAGGGGATAATTTCAAATTTTTTAAATTAAAGTCAAATAAGGGGAAATTACTGTTGTACGAAAAATGTCCAGGTATATAGTATATCCCCATATCAGAGTCAAAGGAATTTATGGTAATTTCACAGCTCCTTCATCAAAATGAAAATAACATTACCCCACTGGCAAGGTATCCATTGTTTAATACATTAGGCAATAACAATGTTTGATGTACAATTTAAAATTTTTATCCACAAAGTATTAGAATTTGAAATAGTGAATTGAATATTAGTTTAACTTAAGAACATGTATTCAATTTGAAAAGATGAATTGTATATGTAAAGTATATAATTTGTAATGATGAATTATAAAATATGTTAAAAGTTTTTCGATTTGAAATGGTGAATTGCATAATGTGCTAAATAATTACAGATGTGCAAATCATGTTAAAATATAACTTGATCATAAACTTGTGCATAAATTATTAATAAAATATAAATAAATTTAAAACATAGCGTAAAAACCAAATATTCAATTAGCCTATAAAATTGAGGAAAATGAAAGGATCATCAAACAAGAAAACTATATTTACTGAAGACAGTGGCAGAGGTCAATATACATTTCTATTATTGATCAATCTTATTACCACAGAGTTTAAGGCCATAATCGTTCCCAATTTCAGATTTTTTGCTTTACCGATGATGAAAATTAATTTATAGAATTTTCAGATTTTGACTGCCAGATACTTCTTGAAGGAAACAAATATTTAAATGTGTTGTTACAAAAAATAACAGGCATGACAGGGCCTGCAAAATTTCTGGAAAATATTGAACACTATAAAATAAACTTACCACACTGAATATCTTCTGTGCTACTGTTGGTAGATTGACTTCTGTTAATATAAACACAGGATGTCTCTCGCACTCGTACGATATCTTGTTATTTACATCATCGTAAGAAATCGGACAAACAAAATAATCAAACTGCACCAGGAAATAGGACAACTACAAATATAAACAAAATTAAATGTCAAACAATTTCTGACAGGCAAAAAAAAAAAACAACTGCACCAGAAAATAGGACAACTACAAATATAAACAAAATTAAATGTCAAACAATTTCTGACAGACAAAAAAAAAAACAACTGCATACAAGGATTTTAAATGTTTTGTGTTCAGTTTTACATAGTTTTGACATTTGACTTTGTCTATTCTAACTTCCGGCACAGAAATCAGACTGAATGCCCAACTCATTTCTAGGTTTATTACTTGGCTAAACATGACAATTTTCATTGGTTATTTGAAAAATATCAAACTTGTTCAATAAATTTCATGGGTTGCTTGATTTTATATCAGTTGATGTTATCCTTTTTTATTGCCTGCTGGAAATTAAAATTAGAATGCATACATCTCATCTGCATGCATCATATTTAGCAAGTACTTAATTTTACCATTAGTCTTATTTTGAAAATAAAATAAAACCTATTTCTTTCTGTAAGAGTCAAATTTATCTGGTCTTGGTTGTTAGTTATTGCAATATATACCGTATAGCAGTTTTTTTTCGCGGGTGTAAAATTTCGCGATTTAGGGGCAATAAAGCATACGAAAAATTTTGGCGGTTTTTATTTTGGTGGATTCTTAAATACCAATTAAATATTTTGGCGGATACCGAAATGGTTGTAGCTAAAAAGTTGTAAAAATTGACAAACAAGTGTCTATTGTTATTGTTAAATGATTGTTTTGCCGGCATGACGTCTTATTTATTGATTATATATTGATACAGTTAATGAATAGAATACAGGTGTACACATTTCTTGTAAATATTACAGTTGATTAGTTACGAAATTGATCGGACCTTTGATGTACTAATTAGTTTTAAAATAACCAAGAGTGACTTGCAACTCTTAAATATAATTTGACACTAATTGATAAGGGTAAATCTCTGACAGAGTACCTTACACTTATATTATTTGACACTAATAAACTAATTAACACCTATTAGCCATTTTATAAAATATATGTAATACTACGTATAATGCCCTTTTGGCATTTATGTTGTTAAAACTAACATAAACCGTTATTGACCCACCGAACGGAAAAATACATTGTTTACAAAACGCTCCAGCTATTGGAAAGTATGTTACAGATGCATAAATTTTTAGTGGAATTTATTTTCGCGATTTTCCTTTATCCGCCAAAATAAGCAAATAAACACCCCGCGAAAATAACCCGCTATACGGTATGTAAAAACTTTTATTTATTTTTATTTTTCTTTTTTTCATATAGATATATATCATATTTGCTGATTTTTTAATAGTAGTTATGTGTCTTTGTTTGCACTTCTACTTTTTGGTGTTGGTAATTTGTGTGGTCTGTTGTACTGTCCAATATTTTTGGTACATGTACTTCCTTAAGCTTTATACATGTGTTAAATGTATTCAGGGGTTCAAATTAACATTTGGTACTGGAAGGTCCATGACCTTTGACACTCCAAACTGAAAGGTCCACAACCTAAATCCCAGGTCCTACTTTATTTGAAATTTTTCATAACTCAGTAAGATACAAAATTAATATGTTTTTGGTCTTAGGTTAGCTTGTTTAATTATATTTGAACTGCATGCAATATTTTGTTAAGTTTACAAATTTATTGCCAGGCAACCATATAAATGTAGCACTAAACTGTCAGTGTCACTGTGGTATAACATGTATAATAATAAACTTGTCTTACAAGTATATTATGAACTCAAATAATCTTCTTTTTTTTTTTGGTATTGGGGAGGGTGTCACTGTGAGTGGGTGTGTTGTGTCAATTATTGGTAATTATACCATTATCTCAGGGCTTACACTACTTCAGATCATAGGGAGAAGTGACTTCTATAAAGGGCTATATGTATCTTTTTTTATACTGTTCAAGTCATAACCGAGTATACAATTAAAGTAACAGTTCAAGTTCATAGCTGTCAGGGGCGTTTCTATGATATTTGAAAGAGGGGGCGTAGAATCAAATCTTTTTGGACCTTTTTTTGCTAAAAAACATAAAATAATTGTGAAGTGCACTAATGTAACAAGATTAGCAGATTTTTACGATAGGTTTTTTTTTAAAGGGGGGGGTGCGTACGCCCATTACGCCCTCACCTGGACCCTCCCCTGGCTGTGTAAGTTTATCATATGTTACACAATAATATTAGTTCCTCTCTTGTCAGAAACTACTAACTAAATATCTAGCACTAATAAAGAAAGAACTTTGTTTACATCAAAAATGAAAATAAAGTGTGAAATGCTTAATTTTTTGCTTTGGGGTCAATATTCTTCTGTCAGATGTGCCATTCATGGGTCCGTAGTCATTATCCTTAGAATCCGGATTTCATTCATAGCTGGTCCTTTCCCGAATACGACCAGTAGTTTGTACAAATATTTCAATGACGGACGAGAAAATTTACAAAATTAAACGATGTCTGAAACGCTATTTGGAAGGGAATATGACGTATTTAATGCACTGAATGAATTACAAATTTACCTAAGGCAACTTTCATCACTTCTAATTGGTTAACAAACTTATTTTGCCGACATTTAAAATGGTTTGAAGTACGCTCTCGAGGGTTATACCATGTCAATAGTAATATGGCTTTGAAATGACGATACTGATTGTTAAAAGGGTTGGCAAAGTTAATTTTTATTTTCTTTCAAATCGAAGGTCCGTCGGGCGTAGCTAGTAACAAAAATGAAAGTCCGATTGCAATAGTGGAAGGTCACGGACCTCGGACCACCGCTAATTTGAACCCCTGGTATTATTGTGCCAACTTGTATATGTTCATTACAGCTTGTGTATTTTTTATTATTTCAATCTACCCATTTTAGGCAGCCTATTCTAAAATTTAACCTCAAATTTTGGAAAAATATAGAATGCTTTACTCATTTTTAATCGAGTGTTGTGTGTGCACCTGTTTTGATGAAACAAAAGAAATGACATCTCCAATCTTGGTGTCTATGATGAGTTTATTTCCAAAAGGCAACCATCTTAAAAGTCTGTCCACTATCTGTCCACTCAAACAGTGGACATGTCAGGTCAAACTGATCTAATACTACTCTAGTTAGTTTTAACTAGACACTATTGAGATGGGAGCCATCTCTGTGGGCCCCGCTGACCTTGATCTTTGACCTAGGAAGTTGTACAAACATTATGACACACCCTCTGGTGTTGGTTAACATACATATCAAGTATAAAGTATGAAATTATAACGGTTCTCTAAATAAAGAGTGGACACAATTTTTTACGGACGGACAGACTGATCACTATAGGGCACCCGCCACTAGGCGGGGCCCTAATGATACTTACTGCTAATCCAAACAGTACTGTAGATAAAGCACCACCAATAAATCCTTCCCATGTTTTCTTAGGAGACAGTTTGATCAGAGGTGTTTTACCAAAGAAAAATCCAAACATGTATGCCATGATGTCATTACAAATAATCATGGATACTGGCACTAATAGCCTGAAAAATAAAGAAAGAAAATTATTTAAAACAAGAATGTGTCCATAGTACACGGATGCCCCACTCGCACTATCATTTTCTATGTTTAGTGGACAGTGAAATTGGGGTCAAAACTCTAATTTGGCATTGAAATTAGAACGATCATATCATAGGGAACATGTGTACTAAGTTTCAAGTTGATTGGACTTCAACTTAATCAAAAACTATCTTGACCAAAAACTTTAACCTGAAGCGGGACAGACGGACGAACGGACTCACAGACAGAAAAACATAATGCCCGTCTACTATCGTAGGTGGGGCATAAAAATCATCATTAAACTCATATGAGGAGCCAACTGTCTATTTCAACCATGTTGAAATATAAGTAGATCTTTTCTTGATGATAATTTTTGTAATATAAAAATCATATGTTAATATGTTGGTATGGATTTTTTTGTGGTTTTTAACAAAAAATTGTCAAATTTTGGCTCTTTGCATCAATACTGTTTTTTTATTTTGCTTAAGGATGTACTTAGGTGAGGTTTTGGAATAAGTGTCAAATGTTCGTACTCCTCAGTGTTTTTCCATACGATACAAGGTAAAATATTTTGCCCCATAACACCTATTTATCTTTTAACATAAGACTTCATAGCTCATAAATGGTCATTTGACAAAATTTAAGCAGATTCTTGATTTTCTTTCTTTTGATTTGAGACCAAAATAATACCAATACAAATATAAGGTAAAAGTCTGAGTCAGTCTTTTACCGCCATATTTTATAAATCAAATATCTCGAAAAGGAGCTCCATGACCTATCAATATTTTAAGCTTATTTTGATCCTTAACTAATACTCTTCCAGCTTAAAGAATCAATTTTGAATTCTTGATTTATTTAATTTTACCTTCGATCACCTAAGTACATCCTTAATTGAATTTATTCTTTAATAAGTGTTACAGGTGACTGATTTTTATGCTAAATAAAATTGTTTTGACAGCTGTAATGTGACCAAAATGTATATCACATATGACAAACACAATTAAAATAATAAGTAGAAAGAACTGATCTAAAACATTAAAGCAGATCATATTAATTGCAATAATTTGACATTAGAAGTTACATTTTATTGATTTATATTTTGTTACAATAATCAACTGATCTTTTAACCAGGGAGAATCATTAAAATTTAATATCATTTTATTTCCTGATTCTTGTCACCCTACTTATTACATAATTTGTGTTATTGCTTCCCCCCTTTAGATTTAATTATATATATGCCAATTTATCTGTTTAAATGTAATCATTATGCTGTTTTATTTATGATTATCTGAATTTTCCGTTCATGTATTTGGTAAACTTTAAATTTTGGTGTGTTTATATTCGACATTTTCATCTTAATTGCCAAATAAACAAAAATATCCCAATTTATGGTATAATAGCCAAAAACACAATCAAATTATTTTCAAAATGATTATTTAAGAACAATAACTCTAATAAGGAGTCGTCTGACAGTTTAAGTCAAGATGGGAAGTGAGTGAATCTTCACATTCTGAACAAAATGTTTGCCCTGTAAGATTTTCTCTATCTATAACTGTTTCAAGATATTACACGATTATATTTTACCCTTATGTTCTATTTCTAGCTGTAGTGGCCATGTTGGTTAGCAGGCTGGACCATCAAAAGTTGACAGATAATAAAAGTCAACCAATGCCAATCATATCATGAGACTATTGTAATTAATCTAATCAAAATTATATCTCTGCAGTTGTTAATTTTTTATGCTTGCCCACGCAGAAACCAAGTTTTAAAAAATAATACTTGGGTCCTGGGGAGATATAATTCTAATTAGATTAGATTGGGTTCTCTGTTCTCTTTAATCAGATGGGAAACTTTAATCTTTGAATTACAGCTTGCCAACTACAAGACATCCTTACCAAATGAGTCCCTCAAAAACGTTCTGTATAATTAAGTGTGACTGTGTGACCACTATAAGTAAGGTAACGTGTGTCCAACCAAACTGAAAATAAATCAAAGACATAAAAACGAAATTCAAACCAATGGATAACGATTTCATTACATAAAATTCCTACTTCAAACCTTAATCAAATAAACAACCCTTACATTGCTGTTTTTCATCTAAAAGTTACAGGGAGGTTTTCAGTACAAAGCAAATACAAGGTCAATACACTGATGTTAGCCAAATTCTTTGATAAATGTCAAGCGTATTACATCTATTCCTTGATAAAGCTCTTGAAGTTATTTTAAGGTGTGTTTTGATAGAATAAAAGAAAAAGTATAAAAAAGAAAGATGAATTATACCAATATGTATAAAATAAGAAGATTTGGTATGATTTGCAATGGAACAACTTTTAACCAGAATACAGATGAAGTGTTTATGATTTTATGTGAATTTTTTTGAGTAGGAACAAATACCTCCTTGTTCTCTATAATATGTTATATGTTTTGCTTTTAATCAAGGTTTAAAGCAAGTATTGGCCAAAGATAGACTAACAATATTTCAAATACATGTAATATGACAATGATTCTGATAGATTGATGAAAAACATTCAGCAGTCAATATTACATGCATTTTCAGGATTATAACATCTTCTATCATACAACTTTTCTTTTCCAAGCTGAGCCGTATTTCTCATGAGCTTGCTCAAGAACTTTTTTTCAAATTTTTATCATACAAATGTAAAGTGAAATGCTAACAATTGACATAAAACGACATAAAGATAAAAGTTGACATGAAGAAATTTTTACAAAATATAGAAAATTGTTTCTGGTGTATTGTCATGTTAAGGATAACTCACAGTCACCAGATTCTAAATTAATTTTTCTTTTTTGAACACCTTTAATTTTACCTTAGTCAGTCAGGGGTACCACTTGTACAAGTAATCTTTATTTACTTGAAGAAGTAAAAAAAATATACTTATATAAGTTAATTATAATGTTTGAATAATCTCCCCTTAATTTTCTCCAAAATTCACTTGTATAAGTAATTTTTTTTACAATCTTTCAAAAATTCTCAAGTTTAGAGATGTAAAAGCATGCCTTTAATGATTTTTCCCAGGTAAGCACATAATTTTTGATTAGAGTTCAATGTTTCATCTCATTAATTCAACAAAGAAACTGATTGCGCAAAGATCTTAAGTATTTGGCAAGGCCTTCAAAAATTGCTCCTTGGGGGCTTGTAAATGAGCAGTGTTCTGAAGACAAATGAGATTTTCATTGTCCAAGAATTTTCACTTAAATGATTAGTTAAGACATCTGCAAAGGACAGACAATTTAAAATTCTATTAGAGCAAAGAGGTCCTAAGAATTCAAGAAAAGAAGATAGGATGACTTTTTCATTTATATATAAGTATAAAAATCTGAATGTCTAAGGGACATAACTTAGCCAATTTTTTGTTTACCTATACAAGTAAATAAAATACACTTGTATAATTATCCTACAAATTTACTTATATAAGTATATTAATATTACTTCTTCGAGTAAATAAAAATTACTTGTACAAGTAGTACCCCTGACTGTTAGTCATTCTATAAGACAAATCTAAGATCATGCATAGTAACTTTTAAATGTATTCAAAATTTTAGGCCAAATATAGGCCTTATTGTCACTTAGTGTTATTCCTGCACTTACCAAGGTGAACTGTTTTAAGTAGTGCTTCTTCTTCAAGCTAACAACAAAACCAACAAAGCCAGCCACATACAAGGAAAATGATATAAATCTGTGGTACGACACTAAAGGACGTAAAAATTCCTGTAAACATAAACATGCTATGATACACAAAAATCTATCGTGTGCTGTTCAAGAGAAAAGGAGAAAATATCTTATAAAAATTCTGGAATCATTATACATGTTATAATTATATGTATAGCTACATTTTTTTACAAGCTTTCAAATCATATTAAAGAAAATATCTTTAAAATAGTATAGTAAATAAAAAATTCTTGCAGCTCTCTCATTCATTTGGATTTGTGTTTTTTTGTTGTATTAATGACAATATATAGTATATTCAGAAATCAGAGCATACCAGTGTCTGAGTAGAAAGTTGATGAACCAGGGTTATGTCAAAGAACATCTCGTCCTTTTTCCAAAAAAGTTCATCGGAAGATACCAAGACCTTGTTGAAATATATTCCGTATCAACTTCACAAATAATACATGATGGTCTTGAAGTATAGATTCTAAGTACTGACGTTGTTTATCATCTTAATTTCATGTTATAGTGTTCTTTTATTTGTCTTTGTAAATCATTAACCCTTACTGTTTAGTCCATTTTTGGTAATATCCTTTTGGCGTGGCTCAGTACTTATGCATCCCGCCATTTTGTTGATGCGCTGTGGTCATTTCTTGTATTTTGTCTTTCATTTTTGCTTATGGGCTTTGTCTATATGCCATTTTGTTTTTCTTTGTTGACATATTTGTTTTTCTTTCTTGACATATATGCATATTTGTTTGTTTTAAAGTGATTAAAATTATAACACAATGTTGACTGCTGTACCCCTATTACCTATTATGTCAGTTTGTTTTGTTCACACATTGTTGTCAATATAATGGAATTTTATGCGACTGTCATACAAGTGAGAGGTTTAGCTAGTTATAAAACCAGGTTTAATCCACCATTTTCTACATAAGGAAATGCCTGTACCAAGTCAGGAATATGACAGTTGTTTTCCATTCATTTGATGTGTTTGAGCTTTTGATTTTGCCATTTAATAAGGGACTTTCCAATTTGAATTTTCCTTGGAGTTTGGTATTTTTATTAATTTACTTTTTTCTGATATGTTTGCCGAACATTTGAAAAAAAATGTCAGATTTCAAGAAATGTTTTATATAAATAATGCTTTCAAAATTTACAAAATGCAAAAAGTCTTACTACCGGTATATTAATCCTTGGCCAAACCTATCATGTTGCAATTTTTGCAATAATAAAATATCTCAAAAATTACTGAAACAAAAAAAAAACATTTATAAAAACATATTTTTAATTATTATGCTCTAATCAATTCTTATAAATGAGATTTAAAATACATTTGAAAGGCAATTTTTTTTATGGCCAATGTGAAACTTTAATATCATACAATACTTACTGTTCTCTGAAGCAGAACACCAAAGTACTGGATGAGACTTTCTCCATAGAAAAAATAATTAGATGTAAACAGGAAGTACCAACTCAACATACGAAACCATGGTAAGTTGAAGGATTTGTAAACAATATAACCGATCGTGATAATCTCATGGAAACATTTGATCTGTACCATCAGTGTCTACAAATAAAAAATCAGGAAATAAACCCATGATGTAAATAAGAATATTTGTCCATTGGAAACCATGACCTGTTAACACTATCAGTTTTCCATGTGCAATGAACAGTGATATATGAGTTAAACTTAATTTGGCTATTTCTAAAAGTTCACATTACATGTGTTCATTTAAATGTTTCAGAGTTAGTGTGACGTCCATTTTCACTGAACAATTATATACATTATTTTTTAGGGGCCAGCTGAAGCCCGCCTCAGGGTGCGGGATTTTCTCGCTGTGTTGAAGACCCATAGGTGGCCTTGGGCTGTTTTCTACTCTTTGGTGGGGTTGTTGTCTCTTTGACACATTAATTCCCCGTTCCAATTCTCAATTTTATGTGTACACAGTTTCAAGTCAATGTGACCACATCATCATGGTAAACTACCTTAAGGATGTTTGCTCCTCTTGTTTTGGATTTTTTGCCAGATATTCGGAATTCTCTGGTTTTATCCATGTAGTGCCATTAAAAATTTTGCCCCCTAACCCCTACCTTTCTTTTCATAATTCTATTACATATAGTTTAAAAAGCCATATTTGAAAATCTTATAAAATCCCTATTATTTTTTCATAGTTTTTGAAAGAAAAAAGGTGCTGAATTTTCAATGGCTTATATCTTGAAAACAAGCACACAGACCCTTCAATTTTTTCTGCTTTTTTAGTTCCTTCATTTATATACGGTACTATCATTTTATAACAGTCTTTTAAAAGTTTGTTATTTTGAAATAGAGTAGCAAACATCCTTAAACAAAAATTTGAACCCTAAAACAGGATAATGAACTGACGATTTAATGGACGGTCTAGGAAACAAACTAGGAAACATTGTAAACACCTACTGCCCTAGTCGGGGCTTCAAATTAAGCAATAAGAAGGGTGAGGAAAAATAGGTGCAGGATGCAGCATTCAGAATTTTTTCTTATAATTTTTGTAAAAGATTGATTGAAACATTTTAATTTTATAGGTAATTGCTACTTCCTGTTATCACAGTTTTCATAGGGACTAACATGACAATCATATCTAGTAAACTTATATTAAACTTGAGTAATTTTACTTACAACAATAACTAATGCAAGTGGTCCTAAATAGATGATTAAAAAGAAGAAGAAAATCATCGCCCAGGAGAAGATTCCTCGTATAATCCAATTTCTCCATCTGAAATAAAAAAAAAATATTGCAGGAAAATCTTTTTATTTAGCCGAAACCTCCCTTCAGTGCCTAGTCATCTTAAATAAATCCTCTAAACCTTGAAGGCTTCAATATCACCAAGAGAACATTCATTTCGCAATTGAATATCTCCATCTATAAAAGAAATTATTATATGTGTAGTAAAAATCTATTTTTATCTCCCTTTACCATGTTTACTACATATTAGCCTAATACAAACCTTCCAATTTCCTTCAATCTCAACCACGACAAAATTCTTAACATAATCCTGTTCCTCAATTAGAAAAATGCCTTTATCAAAATTGACTAAAGCATAATTCAGACATCTTGAAAGGGATTCCAAATTTCACCTTCCATTTTTAGTAGGTGGTCAATTCAAGTCATCAGAGACAGTGCAGCTACACACAAAGTGATTCAGTTTAAGTAATCACTATCATGATTATCACAGTGAATTCTGGGTGATTCACTTTGAAATACGTACATGTACCTCTCAGTATGAAAATTAGGAGAGTTGGTATGACTCCCAAAACAACTATCAAAAAGACCAAAGGAATAGGATGTAAACAACTATACAGGTCACTGTACAATTTTCAACAATGAGTAAAACTTTTTTTTTTACTAAAAAGTAAAACTTAAACCATATACATTTGTTGTAAATTACAAAACTTCTAGGATATTTTCAACATATATCATAGGACAGGGTCATAAAGCAAAAGGTTTAAACTTCAATCACCTTGTATCCCAGGTTTTGAATTAAAGGTCAAACTCTGATAGTCAATACACAAATAATATTGTTTATCTGAAATTAATCAAAATCTACTTCTCCATCATACAATGTCATAGAAAGACTTTGCATTGGCAGGAATCAATAAAATAATTCATCAAAATGACATGATGCACTAATCAACAAGACTATACATGCTATACATTTACATCAATGGAGATTAGTTTATCATTAAACAATGCAACAAAAATGTAAAAAATGTAATATAATCGTCTGCTAAATAGAAATACTCAGCCATAACAAATATTTAGCTACCTGCATCTATCATGTTGAAATTACTTTATATCATAATGTGCAATAAAATCAAGATGGTACAAGGTTATTCTATTCCAATGAAATGTCAATTTCTATTACAATGTTTTCCAACCTGAGGTGGTTGTGCACTGATGCTCTGTGCAAATTATCATTTTGCTAAGTGCAAAAGATTTAATTTATTTTTAGTCCGAACTTAATTGTATATTATGTATATTAAAATCTTCCATATAAGCAGTCCCCTGTACAACCATTATATAATGTTTTCAATAGATCACACTAGATTATTTTAGTTTTGATAAAAAAACATAACCTCATCTGGGCAACAACCCTGAGATGCTATAACCTAAAAAAACTGTTTTTCACTATTTTTCTAGGCTACATAAATGACATGTGGCTTATAAAGTCATCATTTTTTTCTTTCTACACGTAACACGACATAGACAAATCCATCTCACTCAAATAGTGTGAGATGACAAATTATCATATAGAGAGATATAAAGATCAAGGAATTTTATTTTTAGAAAATAGAAAGTTTTAGATACTGTTTCTTATCTAACAAGTTAACTATAGTTTGTTGTTTATCAACTATTTATGAAAACAACAAAAGTAACATTCATGCAGAATTTATTCAGTTTAACTTTTTATGAGTATATTTATCATTGCAAGCACTCTCTTTATCCATATGAGCCTCAAAGTGAAGAATACAATTATGTTATATAAAGAAAAAACTTGCTCCACATTGATATTGAATATGTTGCTATATTCAAGAATTCACAGAGCTTAACGTGAGGGTACCCAAATTGCACATATTTTGACAGTTTTTTCACCTACGTTTATTTAAGGTCCAGACAAAAGTTTCAATTCTGTGTTTATTTTGTAGATGTATCCTTAAATAAGGACTATGACTATATAGTTCCACAAATTTAATTTTGAATCTACTCTGTAATGAGGAGTACCTAAATTCAGGGGCGTAGCTTAGTAACCCGGAGGCATGACAGCAAGTGCATCCACGTCGTTTTCATTATAAAAAAAACACACACACAGAGAGAGAGAGAGAGAGAGAGAGAGAGAGAGAGAGAGTAGACAAAGTTAACTTTCAGTCTTTCTATGTATGCATTTTAAAAACTACACAAAGAATAAGAGCAAGAGGAATACACATGCAGCGACATTTTTAATCCTGTAAGACATGTATGTGTACGATAAATACATACAACTGGTGTAAACATGGCAGAACTTTTTATATTACGGACATTGTTTAGAAAAAAAAACCAGCTACATATTTGTCGGTACCACCACCATAGCGTATACTCGCCTTGAGTGCAAAAAAACAACATAATCCCTTTAGGGTTAACAAAAAAAACATAATCCTTTTAGGGTTAACAAAAAAACTTGAAAATTATTATTTTCCGCTTCGCCCCAAAACACACATCTTACTAGAACGAAGACTCTTCAACTCGTATCGAACTGTTACCTTGTGAACTAGTTCAAAATTGACCAAGTATGTAGGTCTTGACAACACGAATACTTCATTTTCACAACATGTAAACGTATTCCCGTCCTGATGTGCATGTTATATTTGCTACTGGACATTAATAACCATTCGATCAATCAATAGTTTCCGTAAACTAATAGATGAGAAGTTGGAACTGCTGTTATTATAAAGAAAGTACACATTTTCCAGTACATGTATTACGTTTTTATTTATTTTACAAAAAGCATCTTGTATATAGATTCGATAATTCGAAGTCGTTTCAATATGGGCCGGCTATACGAATAGTTGATTGTAAAAGCATTTAAATAAATTGTTAATTCTAACTCGTTTTACTGGACTATTTGGTCATTCAATTTTATAATGAATTTTCTGTCCGAGTCGGACACTAAACTGCTGATTCTTGTTCGAAAGAAACACCAAACTTTTAATACACGCATCTTCACTGTTATCATCTAGATATTGCCATACAATTGGTCGAATGCACATGTATTTGTGAATTAGCTGGATAATTAACAAACGCAGATCATGAAAAGATCGTGATCAAAGTACCATTCCCTCTGAAAAAGTTCATTAATTTCAACTTCGAGAATTCCTAACTGCATAAAATTAGAAATTCCTATCTCTCTCTTGTAGAGTTTACCCACAGAATTTTTAAACATCTAAATCCATATGTTCAGCAAAATATTGGAGAATGTGTCCACCAAGTATTTGCCCTGGACCTACTGAGGGCCTTAGGCGGGGGGGGCCCTACCAGGGCTTTGCCCTGGACCTACTGAGGGCCTTAGGCAGCCCCAAGACCCCTCGCCCTTTAGTTTGTGATTCCACTTCATTAAGAAGGTAGCTACGCCCCTGAAATTGCATCCATGCTTAAATTCATATCCGTAATAATGGAATAACTGATGTTTAGTTTTATTTCTCCTCATTTTTGGAACAATTTGACATTAGTTGATGTTTAATATTCATTTTGTAAGAAATAGATGCCTCAGATATTTTTTAAAAGTTTACTTTTCGTGGATGTTGCATGCGACGTTTCCGTAAATTTAACTTTTTTCTCAGGATGTTTCATCTTTTGATATATAATGTGACCGTTTTGTGCATATCTAAATATACTAAGCTAGGTTTGAAGATGTGCATAATAGCAAATTATAAAAATACAAATTATTTACTTTTCAGAAAACTTGTAAGACTTCCACAGTTTTTTTTTTTGTTGCAAAATGGGTGCAATTTGGGTACTGTGATGTTACCCATTATTGCTGTTTTATAATGCAGAGGATCACAGAATAAATATTTGTCAAACTTTATATTTATAAATATATCTTAATTCAATTTCTAAACATGAAAATGGGAGCACTTCAAGCTCTCTTCGTAAAATACTATAAGGCTACATGTTCATTTAAGACTGTAAATTGTTGAAAATACAACCTGATATTATGTGGAACACTGAAAATATTTATATCGCATACATGGAAATGTCACAGCTACATACATACATTGTCCAAGATTATCTTATGGACAATGGAATCATTGAAAATGTTATTACTTGTTACTAGATGAAAAGGGCACATATAACTTAACATACATTAAACTTTAAAGCAATGTCTTAAGAAAGGGGTGCTAACTATAAGATGAATAAGGGCTACATGTATTAAAGATATTGTAATTTTTTTCAAATTTAATCTAAAAAATATAAGAAGAATGTGTCTGAGGATATCAATGCCCCCGCTCAAGCTTGCTTTTCAAACGAAAATGGGACAGATGAAACAACGGTCAAGGGTAACACTTAATGTCCCTTCACCTTGTGGCTTGGGCATAAAAATATATTTAATCATATATATGAAAATCTTGAAAAGAACCACTTAATGGTTTTAACATATTTGGACCCTAAAATACATGTTCATTGAGCATCGTAGCATTATTCAATTTTACAATCAAAAAGATTAAAAGAGTCTGTGTTCTCCCCAGGACCTTTTAGCATTGTTTTAATGTGATGCTATCTGAAATAAGTTTCTTATAGTTTCTGTTATGGATGTGAATATACATGATACATTTATATATTTGATTTTTGATTTTTGGTGTTTTAACGCCACTTTTAAGCACCGCTTTTTTGGCTATTTCGTTGCGGTCAGTTTTTATTGGTGGAGAAAGCCGGAGTGCCCTGAGAAAACCATGACCTTCGATAGGAAAACTGACAATCCTAGTCAATTAAGATTGGAGTCGAGTGCACCCGCACGAGCGAGGTTCGAACTCACAACCTCAGTGTTGACTGGCTAGTGATTACACTAGTGACTACTTAGACCACTCGGCCACCGAGGCCCCGCTACATTTATATATATATTCAAGAAAAGTTTGGCAAGAAATGTGATCTGAAATTTTTAGGTCAGTCCGTTTTCTACCTGTTCACTAATGTTAAATAGGTAATACATGTTCATATATTACAATAAAATCATTGTGAATTTTAATTTATTTTTTTAGAGCCATTTTTATTTAGAATTCTATGGATCTCTGTGTCTTATTTGGTGATGTTCATATTAAGCAAGAAAATCAAAAGAGGATGGGATAGTGACTAACAAAAACTTTACTTTACCTTGGTGTGAGGTCTTTAAGAGCGGAATCTAAAGCTTCTGTTGTTTTGTCTGATGATTGTGACATCTGTCGTGTTGTAGTCAGGTCAGCACCAGGTGGCAGCTCATCATCTTCCGATTCGGGGTTACTCTGCGGTGGAGGCTTCTAAAATTACAAATATTATATATAACCATGATAACGATTGTCTGTATGTTTTCAATGATTGAAGTGTATCAAATATAAATATTTGAATTAGTTTCTCACTCACCAATAAAGCTTAAAATATTATTGTCTTTGTCTTTTAATTAAATTAATACATTTCTCTTTTTTTCCATGTTTCCTTTGATTTTTTTTTTATTTTATTACTGTGGTTCTTTGTGCACTTTACTTTATGAAATAATTTTTTTTAAATTCTGAAATAAAAATTTTGTGGACAACAAACTCAACAGTTAACATATGCATCTTGAACATGGTTAACAGTTATTATTGTCATTTATATATATATGTAAACCCACTTTTTAGGTGCAAACAGTTCTTCTAGACTATTTGTATATATATGAAAATTAAAATAACACTTTTTAAACAAAATTTACAAATTCATCTTGTAGTATAAATATCATTGTTAATAACTGTTATTTGTAAATGAAAATGAAAATAATACTTTCATGACTTTATAAATAACTTTATAGATTTGGTGGATCTGAAGCCCTTTAACTGTATTTACTTTTATCAGGCATGCCCAAACCCAAAAGTTTGAAACCCAATGATGTATACCGTACTTAAATACTTGGGAAGCTTTACGACTCAAATGGAACAGCCAAATCCACCTAAATACAACTTTGCCTGAAGAGTTAGAACCTTTTTCTTAATATATGTAATAATATCTAAAATTATTTAGTTTTACATGATTAGCAGATAATTCAACATGATTAAGAAAGGTTTATGCTATAAATCACTACAACACACCCCCAGGTCTGTGACTGAATTAAAGTACCTTTGCCTTATTTCTAGCCTGGAATTTTAGTATTCGTATTGTTATCTGATAAAATCATGCTGATTGTAAGGTGGACAGTTTTCTCTGCTGTTTGAACCCGTCCTGGTTTTCTTATTTACAATAAACTTACTATAAACTAAATTGATTTTTTTAACTAATTAACCAAAATTAATAGCAGTATTATTGAGGTGGAATAAAACAGACTTGTTAAATGGTGTACTTTAGTGTAGCATTGATATAAAATAACCACTGGAAGAATTCCAAGTTCTCCTGATAGAGGAGGGATTTACAGATGGTAACAGGAAACTACATGTGACATATGCTATTGGTATCGGTATCAGATTGGAACTGGAACTTGTTAATTATTGGTAATATTTATTATGTGGAAAACAAAAGGGCCTGGAATGGTGTCATTTTTAAAAAAACACCATTGTCCTATATTAGTTATATATAAACATGATAAAGTTTAATTCTTTGATTCATCGTTTTTACGTCATGACGGCTAACAAATTGGACCACGTTAATTTAGTAGTTTAGATGTCAGTACTGAAGCACCGACTTATTCTAAAACTAATATATTATTCATGTTATTCCCAACTGATTTTTCAAATTTAAACTACGAACTTATTCTAGTATTTAACAAGAGTGCACACGCTGAAATGTCTCGCCTTCTTTACTAATCATTGATATTATGTTGATAGTCCTAAATATAAAGCTTTATTACAACTGTCACATAAACTTAACATTAACCAAGTAAACTAAACATTGACCAATGAACCATGAAAATGAGGTCAAGGTCAGATGAACCATGCTAGGCAGGCATGTACAGCTAACAATTCTTCCATACAACAAATAGAGTTGACCTATTGCTTATAGTTTAAGAAAAACAGACCAAAACACAAAAACTTAACACTGAGCAATGAACCTTGAAAATGAGGTCAAGGTCAAATAAAACCTGCGTGACTGCCAAATAGATCATAAAATATTTCCATACACCAAATATAGTTGAACTATTGCATATAGTATAAGAAAAACAGACCAAAACAAAAAAACTTAACTATAACCACTGAACCATGAAAATGAGGTCAAGGTCAGATTACACCTGCCAGTTCGACATGTACACCTTACAGTCCTTCCATACACCGAATATACTAGACCTATTGCTTATAGTATCTGAGATATGGACTTGACCACCAAAACTTAACCTTGTTCATTGATCCATGAAATGAGGTCGAGGTCAAGTGAAAACTGTCTGACGGGCATGAGGACCTTGCAAGGTACGCACATACCAAATATGGTTGAACTATTGCACATAGTATTAGAAAAAAAGACCAAAACTCAAAAACTTAACTTTGACCACTGAACCATGAAAATGAGGTCAAGGTCAAATGACACCTGCCCGCTAGACATGTACACCTTACAATCATTCCATACACCAAATATAGTAGACCTATGGCATACAGTATAAGAAAAACAGACCAAAACACAAAAACTTAACTATAACCACTGAACCATGAAAATGAGGTCAAGGTCAGATGACACCTGCCAGTTGGACATGTACACCTTACAGTCCTTCCATACACCGAATATACTAGACCTATTGCTTATAGTATCTGAGATATGGACTTGACCACCAAAACTTAACCTTGTTCACTGATCCATGAAAAGAGGTCGAGGTCAAGTGAAAACTGTCTGATGGGCATGAGGACCTTGCAAGGTACGCACATACCAAATATAGTTATCCTATTACTTATAATAAGAGAGAATCTAACATTACAAAAAATCTGAACTTTTTTTTCAAGTAGTCACTGAACCATGAAAATGAGGTCAAGGACATTTGACATGTGACTGACGGAAACTTCGTAACATGAGGCATCCATATACAAAGTATGAAGCATCCAGACCTTCCACCTTCTAAAATATAAAGCTTTTAAGAAGTTAGCTAACGCCGCCGCCGGATCACTATCCCTATGTCGAGCTTTCTGCGACAAAAGTCGCAGGCTCGACAAAAACTACCATTTAATAGTTCACTCACATTCATGTGACATTAAATAAATTCCAGTACTTAATTTTAAATTGGGTATTTAAAACTAATTAAATATCATGATTAAATTGCCCTTTATAAAGGTATCTTACATCAGTCTTTAACATGTATACTACTAGAGTCTTAGTATAATTGCTAAAAATAGTAACTTCCATGTTACAGAAATCAACATGGAACTGACTATGACTTAAATAAGTGTAATCTTATTAGCATGATTATCATCAATTAAATATTAAGTTACCTGTCATTTCTTAAAATAGATGATCCCACAAATACATTTCTGTGTAGTTATAACATTATGTTTTGTATAGTTTATAACTATACCGAATCTAAACAAATATTTCGTAAAGATATCCAGAATCCTGTAAACCAACATACTTTGGGATGAAGAACAGCAATAAAAGTACTGTTGCTTTGCTTTTTGGTCTTTACTGTGCATGTACTGATTTTCATGTGTCATGGATGAATATATCCCATATCCTTTCTTTTGTATTATTCATGTAGTTATTGACTTGTATGCATGACCAGAATGTCCACAAATATTTTTCAAAATCTAGTTATAAAATAATTCTGACATCTTGAATTTGAGTTGCACATATAAGTAAAAACATGTAAATATTGCAATGAGCCCATTGTGAGTTGAGAGTTTTTGTTGCATTTGAAGGCCTCTCTGAGATGTTTTCAATATCAGCATTAAAAGCATGGTTCTATTTTCTATGTGAGTTGTTTTAGCCTTTTGTGTCGATGATTGCTAAAAAAATGTCATTAAATGAATTATAAGGATCAAACACACATTTCAGTGACATCAATGTCACTTATAAACAGACCAATACAATCACAATAAAAATTTAAAAAATCTAAACAAAATAAAATTTGCAAGTGAATCATGCGAACTGGTCGAGTTTTGTAGTGACTTTACACATTGAAGGTGTTACATGTGGAGCAGGATCTGCATCGCTTAGTCATGTTAGTCTTAGGTTTTCTATGTTGTGTTTTGTAGACTGTTCTGACATGTCTCTTGGTTGTTTTTCATTTTTTGCCATGCATGGCATTGTCAGTTTGTTTTCGACTAATGAGTTTGAATATATTCCCTTTGGTATCATTTGCCTCTCTTTTGAAATACTCCAGAAAGAATGTGTTTAACATGCTTAATGTTATTATGCTTAAAATAAATTAAAACTGATTCAGACTTATTAAGATGTTAAATTGAAAAACTCTAATTTTGGAAGCCTGAATTGAACTCTAAAACTGTAATGAAAATGAATGAAAGTAAATGGTGGATACATTTTGTGCCAAAATATAAATATAAAAAGTCAGTATTTTGGGAATATAAATGAAAGAAAAGCAGTTATCAATAGTCATGGTGGGAAACACCAACTGTTGAATTTTTGTTTTGCTTGAAAAAAAAACCAGGACAAAGGACTAATTATAATTGCTTCATCTTCAATAAAAAATATTTTGTGTCTTAACATGTGTTTGAGAGTGTGTATGCAAATAGTTTTGGATGTGTCACAATCTTGTTTTACTAGTTAATTGGCAGAAAATATTTGATTTTAGTTGATTTGTAAAATATTAATCCGTAATGACATAAACCTGTTAATTAATAATGAGAAAACATACATTGTTATAAAGAGAGTCAATAACATTATCTTCAATCTAACATTAATTAGGCCAATTGTTAACAGACAAAATCTGTATGTACATGTGTATATAATATAAAAAACTATGTTTTTGTTTATTCAACAAATAAATTGAACAGAATTTACTTTATCTATTGATATGAAATGTAAACAAAAGTACCTGCAGATATATGTACCAAATGAATCTTGCCTTTATTAGGAATCATAACATACTTTTAATATGCAAGTACATTGTACTATAAATTTAGAAATTAATGCATGCACTTATTATTCCGAATCTTTGACTACTGGGAAAAATGTGAAATCTAATTAATGTGATATTATGTTTTAAAAAAATGTTTAATGATCATTAGTTTTTTCTTTACTATTACGTACATTGTACTGTATGTTTCTGAAACAGTTTTGAAACACAATGAAAATGGTTTTCATGGTCTTTGTTTGTATATTAGAATGATAAAAAGATAAGTAGAGTATACACCAATGAGATAGAAACCAACAACTTTAAACTAAAGAGCCTAGAGGCCAATTTTGCAATGTTTTTTTGATGCTAGCTTAAATGAACCTGGGAGATTATATCATGACTTATATTTTCTTCACTGTGAGCTTTTGCGAAGTTTTAAAAGTTAAGAGATGAAAACCAAATAATTGATGAATTATTGAATTGTTGTTTGCACCCCTCCCCCAAACCCCTGAAGTAAATGTAAATTTGAGATTTTGTTTAGATAACTAAGCAAAATTATAACATTATTGAATTTTAAAATCCTCTATTTCGTTTCGTTTCATACTATTTGTCCTTTGCCGCTTCTGATCTCTGTTTCTTGTCAAAAACAAGTTCTTGGCACAACAATGTTATTTTTTATAAGGCTCCTCTTCTCCGTTGGTCAACTTCCGAGCGATGACCTATCTAAAGATGCTTATCCAACTCGACCAGTCATTTGGATTTTATTCTTTAGAAATCAGAGCTCGAAATAATAATGACCATTTCCGGTGTATCGTTGCTAAAATTTTTTTTTTTTTGTTTGATAATCGATCTATTTCTTGATGATTTATGTTGTTTTACTTAAACATGTTGCTTTCTTCATGTTATTTGACATTTTTCTACTTTGATGAACATGATGAATACATTTTTAGGTTTTTTCTATATGATTACATAAATTAACATTGCCAAGCCACATTTTATTTTACTTGTCTATGGGCAATAAAGACACAAAAAATTGCTTGTCTGGTCTGTCAAATGTACGAGTCAGGCAAAGCATTTCCACACCCCTGAAAACAAAAACCATTTGAAGAACTCAACATCCATAATCTTAGGTTATGATGCAGTCTCCCCTTCCTCGTACATGTATATATTATGTCTGGACCAAGCAGAACATCCAAAGACAGTTCTGCTACATATATGTATTATGCAACGTACATGTAATTACCGAATTTGACTTTTGACAGAATTAGACACTTAATATTCTATAGCCTTCAATAAGGATAATTATGATGTTGATCCTCAAATTATCCTTAAATTTTATGACATTTATCACATTTTACATGTATTTAAAACTACCCTGGAAAGAGTCAAATATATAGAATGATATTCATATTCAACTTTATCTTCTGTTAGTGTAGGGTACCCAATTTTCACCCTCCTAAATGTTCCCGTCGAAAAAGCCTCCAGGAATGATAGAATCAATATCTATTCATGACCTTATGTATGTACAAATACATTAAAGTTATGATGAACCAAGCAACAGCTGTCATATATATAGTAATAGTCTATTGAATAACATACATTTATTTGCCCCGAGCAAAAACATCATCATGATGATTCCAAAATCTAGTCTCCATCAAGTTTCTTGATTACAATTTTCGAAGTAAGCATAATTTGTTGAGTACAACTGCAACATTAAAAATGATAAATAAGCACTGTTTCAGTTCAAAACATGTTCAAAATTGTTTGTTTTGATTTTTTGTTCATCAATGTTTTTGATTCAGGTGTCATGTTTTGGGACGTTGTAAGGAAACAATAAACGTTTGATGCCTCACCTCATCTGAACTGCTGACTTCTCCATCTTTCACTCTGTGTCTTAGTTCTGACATTTTGTCACAACTTAACTGATCGAATAAATCACAAAGTTAATGTGGTCTGAAGTGTTTTATATTTAGTTATGTGCATATCATCTGCTAGTCTCGTACAAAACGAGAGCGGACTTTGTACAACACAGAGTTAACTCCCATTTAAACGCAGGTGCGCGGGCTTTTTAAAAATCTTTCAGCTGCTCACTACTACGATAACTTCGGGAATCTTAAAACTATCAAAGGAAACAAGGTTGTCATTCCTTATATATTCATCAGGGGCGTAGCTGGCCTAAAATAAAGTGCAAGCATAAGTCACTTATCGCCGAGCGGAGCGAGGCGAAACTTTTTTTTTTTACCTTTTTTTTTTTCTTCATTTTCCAGGTATGCCATGCTTATGAAATTTACATTACTCCTTATTAACATGGTTGTTTTCAAATATAAAATAAATTTTATAAAACGGGAAGATCAGTCGACAAGTCAACCGAAGCGTTTATCAATAGAAGGGCAATCAATGGACACTTGACCAACCCGGAAACAGATAAGACACAAAAGAACAAACAAAAACATTCAATATTGAAAACTAAATACAGATCAAAAACACGAACCCCGAAAAAAAAATGTGGCGACCTCCAGTGCTCCGGAAGGGTAAGCAGGTCCTGCTTCTTGCAAGACACCCGACCGTAGCGTTTCTCACTAAGGTAATTTTTGAATCAAAGGAGAGGTTTCTACGACAACGGTAGAAGGTCACTTGGGACACAGATACCCAAGGTGAATTAATAGTCTTTTGGACGAACGGTCAATGGGAATACGAAATCAAACGGCGACTTTTAAGTCTTGACTTATAAGTGAGGGATATAAATCTAAGATGTTTTCAAGGTTATTGTATTGAGCCTGTATTATTAAATGTTAATACTGCATGTAAGACTTAAAGTATAGTTAATATCCAAAGTCCATATATCTATTTTTTGCCAAGGCAAATGATCGCAGAACTCTCTCGGTGTTGATATTCATTTCTCTGTGAACATGTATGAGCGCCAACGAAGATAGTCTGTCCTATACCATGGTTGAACGGAGATCAGTTTTCAGTCGCCGTAATGCACTAAATGACCGTTCAGTAGTTGATGTAGTTACTGGCATTGTAACTAGAATTGACACGATTGCAAACTATTGAAGGATATAGTTCCTTTTTAGTCACTGCTAGAGACGACATCAGAGATTTGGGCTACTCTATAACATCTGGACCCGACCAGCGTCTCTGCCATCTCTTTACCTCAGATTTGAAGGTTTCTTGATTGTCCGTCAAGTCGTGTCTAAATGTTTCGTATAGTTTTGTCTATACACTCTGCTGTCAAAGATTCCAAACGTGCAGGTATAAGGTTCTGGCCTTGAAAACGATCAGAGTAACCAGTAAACGTCCTGTGAGTTCTTCAATGAAATAGTCAAGAAAGGAGAAATGCAAGGCTCGCTTCCAATACTGACTTGGGGTGTCAGCTGGATAGTCAGCCCGGTTGACCTGTCTTCCTACTCATTCGTAATTTAATTTCAGAATTAATTTTTTTGTAAAAAAAAATGTGCAAGCAAATGATTTTTTGCGTAAAGGCAGCTACGCGCCTGTTCATATTCAGGTATGTTCATCTAAAATATTTCAAATAAACATAGCTAAGTCTAAGCAGAACTACGGAGCCCCTCTAGGGACACAATTCAATTAAAATATATATATATGTATATATAGGAAGTGTCTGCGCGAACCCACATACGGGGACGAGTAACGAAATTGGCATTCGTAGGCTACATGTACGTGTACCAGATTCCGGATTTATAATTGCATGTCATCGGATCGGGAATAAAACGTAACTTGACAAACGCGTAAATTATTACAATTAGTGGATAAATTGATTACCCACAGAGATGAGTGTTTTTAAATATTTTTCCTTTAAAGGGGCATTACTGATTACACATGAACTATATGAAATATATGACACCTGAAATAATTTATTATGATCTATTATATTTCAGGTGCAACAGTAGAGCCCCCCCCCCCCCCCCCCCAGTAGAAGTAGTAAAAGACGAATCCTGAGTTCTAAATGAAAGTATAATATCAGATAATCAAATGCATCTATTTTTATACATATGGAATTTGATCTTATTACTTGTTTCTTTAAATTATATATACACTCAAGCTTCATTTGTAGTCGTTTTAGATATTTTAAAATTTAGATTTCTTTTTTGCATTTTACTAGAAAATTATTTCCACACTCAAGTTTCTAAATAGCTTTTTTCAATTAAATTACCGATAATTTCCGTGTATATTTCACGTTTTATTCCCGATCCGATGACATTTAATTATAAAACCGGATGCGGGTACGCGTAGCCTACGAAAGCCAATTTGACTACTCGTACCCGCATGCGTGGTCGCGCAGACACTGCTTTAAATATATTGTGCGCACAACTTACTGATTCTCCTTACTCACCAAGCAATTTCCGAAGAAGACAACGATAAAAACGTTGTCTGAACAATATATGTAAAGTCAAAAATATTTGGAAAATTATTTCGTACAAATATATTTCAGTATAGAACTCATGGAGTGTGAATACCACGTACTTTGACTATGCGGAATGTTTAAACCAGGGGATTAACAATGAGAAACCCGGTGTCCTAAAAATGTTGTGCCCTATGCACATGATGCATGTTAATGCACCCTTGCAGCAACTCTATCTGAGGGGTCCATAGAAGGCTGCTGATGTCAGATTCATACCCATGCAATCTCAATTTTCATAACTTAGCAGTTTATCATGTTTTAAAAGGCTTTTGACAAGGTTCCTCGTTATATACTTCTGTATAAACTTCAATTTTATGGCGTAAGGGGCCGGATAAACTCCTGGATCAGTTCATTCCTATCAAACAGGAAACAACAGGTAGTATTGGAAGGGGCTAGATCACAACAAGATGCATGTCAGGAGTGTCACAGGGCTCAGTGCTAGGACAGGTCCTTTATTGTTTCTAACATACATCAATGACATGAACGGTTATACCCAATCTGATGTCCTCCCCTTTGCTGATGACAGTCTATTATACAGGGAAATTAGTAACGCCAACGATACAGACCAACTACAGAAAGACCTTTAATCGTTAGAAAATTTGGAAAAGACATGAATGATGAGATTTAACCTAATAAAATGCAACGTAACCCGCATACACCAAATAACAAAGACCCTTTACAATATCCATACAGCTTACATGGCCACACACTCGAACCAGTAGATAATGCCAAGTACTTGGGAGTTTCAACATCGAACAATCTATCATGGAACAAACATATACAGAACGTTACAGCAATGGGTAACCGAACACTTGGCTTTGCAAAACGGAACCTAAACGAGTGTACAAAAAAAGAAAAGGCTGCTGGTTATACAACTCTAGAACGACCTGTCATAGAGTACGCTTCTATTATATGGGGCCCAACCAACCAACCGATCATTAACACACTAGAACTTATTCAGAGGAGAGCTTCTAGATTTGTCTATTATGACTACACATCACATGCAACAGGGTGTTGAAGAAGAGCTAAAATGGGACTCATTACAGACAAGACGCCGTGATAACAGGCTATGCATGCTCTATCATATTCAAAATGAGGTGATAGATATCAACCAGAGTATTTACCTCAAAGGTGGCGACAGTAGAACTCGTGGTGGACACAAGTTTTACCAACAGAGGATCACCAGTGATGTCTAAAGTAGGGATGTCAACGAGTACTCGAGTATCCGAGTATCGCTCGGTAGTACCGAGTATCGAATACCAAAACGATACTCGACTAATCGGTTTCCCGTTAGAATATTGCTGTCTTCTTTATATAACATATTGATCTTCTTTCGGAAAATTAAAGACATCACTGTTTAATCATACAAGTAAACAAAAAACTTTTTTTTCGAATGACTGTGCTAAATTGTCATTTAAAATGCCTCCGAAAATACGTGGGCTATACCTAGGCTAGCACTTAAAACTAAACATGTGTTATCCATTCCGTCACATCGGTACCGTCAGAACAACTATGTTGTTAGCAAGACTGTAACTTACAAAGTTGCAAAACCGTCTGTCCCAAATAATAGTAAACAAGAAAATATTTCAAAATAAAATAAATTCGTTGCATCCTATGGTGACCCCCATTGAATAGTTATACGTCTAATCCTTACGCCTTTGTAAACATTAAATGTGTTTTCTTAACGATTACCAAATACTATTGTTTGATATGTTTTTTCCTTGTTATAATTATAAAATAGATATTCACTAAATTATATTAATTGAATTATTGTTTTTTTTTAAATAGTACAAAACTTGTAGGTAATGAGCTATTAATTATGGTGTGTAATTCTTTGTCCCAGATACTTATGTTGATGGTTTTTCGTCCGTAGAACAACAAACCACAGAATGTAAATACGATGTTTATGTTTCCGTGTTGTAGATAATATTCCCGAGCGAGTACTCGGGTATCGCTCGATAAAACCAACGAGTACTCGATTAGTAATTATTTACCGAGTTGACATCCCTAGTCTAAAGGAACTCCTTCTTTCCAAGAACACCCATGGAATGGAATACATTACCTGCCAAGGTTACTGAAGCGGGATCAGTTGAAGATTTCCGCTCAGGACTACAGACAATACATTAATACCAGACTCAATGAATGTATATAATTTTAACCGTATCCATCTGATCTTATTACTGTATATATAGCCGCAGTGGACTAGATTTGTAATGTCACCATGCGTAATACCGCAGAGTTTAAAAGTTTCATTTAGGAACCCAACTCTCATATGGAAGAAGAAGAAGATAACAGAAAAGTATGCGCTAACCAACAGTACTTCATTTAATCCATTTTAGTCAGTTAACTATAAGTGAAATGTTTGCTGCTGGCAACCGATATATACTAGTCAACAAAAGAAACGATACAACACTTTTATCAAAAATAATATTTTACCGTTTTGTAGAAAACAATGAAAAGTAGATAAAACCTAATATAGGCAAGATTCATTTTGGTACATGCACCTGTATCTGCAGGTACTTTTGTTTACATTTCATACCAACAGATAAAGTAAATTCTGTTTTAATCTATT